CATCCAGGGGAGAGTACGTTCGATGGAATAATTTCTTAGATGTATTACCCTATCCACAGGGGTTGGGACCCCTTCTTACGGGTCAGTGGAATCTTTATGCCCAAAACCCCGATTCGAGTAATCATTTATTTGGTACCACTCAAGGAGCGGGAACTGCTATTCTAACTCTTCTTGGGGGATTCCATCCACAAACACAAAGTTTGTGGCTGACCGATATTGCTCATCATCATTTAGCTATTGCATTTATTTTTCTCATTGCCGGTCATATGTATCGAACTAACTTCGGAATTGGGCACAGTATCAAAGATCTTTTAGAATTAAAGCACATATTTCCTCCCGGGGGGCGACTTTGCGGGAGTGGACATAGGCTTTATGGACCACCAATCAACAATTACGCTTCATTTTTCAATTAGCCTTGTCTCCTAGTCTTTCTTTAGGGGTTTATTACTCCTTAGTAGCCTTCAACACATGTACTCATTACCTGCTTATGCATTCATAGCGCAAGACTTTACTACTCAAGCCGGCGTTATATACTCATCACCAATACATCGCAGAGATTCATCATGGGACAGGAGCTTTTGCTCATGGAGCTAATATTTTTATTTAGAGGATTATTAGAGATTACAATCCGGAACAGAATGAGGATAATGTATTGGCAAGAATGCTAGACCATAAAGAAGCTATCATATCCCATTTAAGTTGGGCCAGCCTCTTTCTGGGATTTCATACTTTGGGACTTTATGTCCATAATGATGTCATGCTTGCTTTTGGGACTCCGGAGAAACAAATCTTGATCGAACCCATATTTGCCCAATGGATCCAATCTGCTCATGGTAAAACTTCATACGGGTTCGATGTGCTTTTATCTTCAACGAATGGCCCAGCATTCAATGCGGGTCGAAGCATATGGTTGCCTGGCTGGTTAAATGCTGTTAATGAAAATAGTAATTCACTATTCTTAATTCTCATGAGTTTGTATATAAAAAACCTTTCACCCTTTCAAGAGCAGTGTCAAACCAAAATACCCAACAAGCATTACCTCTCCCTGAAAAAGAGCACGTGGTTCGAAGTTAATGCCAGATAAAAAGGATTTTGGTTATAGTTTTCCTTGCGATGGTCCCGGACGCGATGGTACTTGTGATATTTCGGCTTGGGACGCATTTTATTTGACGATTTTCTGTTGAGACCCCAACCCTAGAGTGAATCTACTTCGTCCGCGTCCGCATTGCATCACATTATGGCAAGGTAATGTTTCACAGTTTAATGAATCTTCCACTTATTTGATGGGATGGTTAAGAGATTATCTATGGTTAAACTCTTCACAACTTATCAATGGATATAACCCTTTTGGTATGAATAGCTTATCGATCTGGGTGTGGATGTTCTTATTTGGACATCTTGTTTGGTCTACTAAGCAAGATTGGGGGGATTAGCCCACTTTTCTGTAGGTTATATCTTCACTTATGTGGCTTTCTTGATTGCCTCTACATCAGGTAAATTTGGTTGATTATTTTTTTTGCTGTATCCACGAAAAAATCATTTATTTCGCTGGATAAGACGCTATATGGGTCATAGTGAACAAATTAACTAAGTTAGCACACTTTCTTCCTTTAGGACCTACTTCACCATGGAGCAATATGCAGAGCTTTATATAGATGAGATAGTGAAATTGCATGGGGTTCCCTATTCCATCATTTCAGGTAGAGATCCGAGATTTACTTCTAGGTTTTGGAAGAAGCCACATGAGGCCCTGGGTACCAAGTTCAATTTTAGCACAGCTTTTCATCCTCAAATAGATGGTCAGTCAGAGTGGGTTATTCAAATTTTGGAGGATATGTTGAGAACTTGTGTCATTGAGTTTGAGGGTAGTTGGGAGAAGTACATTTGACTTGTGGAATTCGCCTACAATAACAGTTATCAGTCGAGCATTTGGGTGGCTCCTTTTAAAGCTCTACATGGTAGGAGATGTAGCACTCCACTATGTTGGTTAGAGTTTTGTGAGGGCAAGATTGAAGGTTCGGATTTGATTCGGGATACAGAGGATAAAGTTAGAATTATTAGAGATATATTGAAAGCAGCTTCAGATCATCAGAAGTCTTATGCAGACTTGAAGAGGAGAGATATAGAGTATGCAGTGGGAGATAAGATTTTTCTTAAGGTATCTCCGTGGAAGAAGGTATTGGGCAACAAGATCAAGTTGGTAAGGATTAAAATATCCCTTACTTTTTCTATTTATTTCTATGATCGATGATCATAGAGGGGCCCCTTTACCATTCTGTATAAATAGGCTATTCTATTTGTACATATATGGAAGAGGGGCGCATTCAATCTTTGTTTGTCCATTAGTTTGGTTTCTTTTCATCGCGGGATAGAGCAGTTTGGTAGCTCGCAAGGCTCATAACCTTGAGGTCATGGGTTCAAATCCCGTTCCCGCAACATTACATTTTTTTGACAAAAAAAATTAGACTTGACCCTATTAACTAGTCATTTTTTCTTTTAGGGGGGTGTATTATATTCCAATTCCAGTCAACTATTTACAGTCAACTATAACGAATCTTTTATCCTCTTATCTTAAATACATTGCCCTGGGCGGATAGCGGGAATCGAACCCGCGTCTTCTCCTTGGCAAAGAGAAATTTTACCATTCGACTATATCCGCATTTTCGTTCTTGATTCTTGATACGAAAGAATATTTGGTCAGAGCTAGGACAGATACTTTCTTCAGTTCAGGGCGATTTTATCAAATTCCACTACTAAACCAATTAACAATCGAAATTATATAACAATTCAAATGCTTATCAATTAATCAAATTACAAGTTATTAGCAATTAATTTATATTATTTGTTATTAATATTATAGAATCTAATTCTATTAATTCTATTATTTATATTCTATTAATTCTATTATTTATATTCTATTAATTCTATTATTTATATTATTTATTATATTTATTTATTATTAATTATATTCATTTTCTATTTTATATTAAATAAATATATTATTAAAATATATTATTAAATATATTTAATATTAAAATTTAATATTAAATTATTAAATATATTATTAAATATATTTTCTATTCCATTTTTTTCTATTCAATTTTCTATTAATTTAATTATATTAATTATATGTATATGAATTATATATGAATTATATATTATATAATTCTATAATATAATAAATTAGAATATAATAAATAGTAATAAATAAATAGAATATAAATAGTAATAAATAGAATTAATAAATTCAATTTATTAAATTAGGAATATAATAAATAGTAATAAATAAATAAGAATATAAATAGTAATAAATAGAATTAATAAAATTCAATTTCTAATTAGAAAAATTTCGAATTAGAAAATAGAAAATTCTAATTAGAATGTGCGTGAGAGATAATTCATTTATATAATTTATAATAATTCATTCATAATATATTTTTTATCACATTAGACTATAATTTCTCCATTTAATTTTCGACCCCTCCCTTAAATTTTTTGTTTTCTTTATTGATTTTTGCATTTTTGGAACTTAGACTTATATGAAATTGTTATGTGTTTTCGCAAACCCGAAAGGAATTCGGGGAGGGGCGTCATTTTATTTTGTATCTGGAACCAAATAGGTTCAAGAGATGAGAGAATTAAGGATACCTACCAGAAAAACTAATCCAATCCATAATGATTGTACCAGAAAAATACAACATTTTTGTTACTTGACAACCATCAGGGAGAGAAAAAACAACGGTACACTATCATAAAGATTGATGAAGTAGCAATTAATGCAAAAACAGCCATTGAAAGCAATAATCATGTTTTCTAATCCTCCATCCTCCAAGCTACCAACAAAAGAACTATACCATTTGATCCCTCTATGATATTGACCAAAAAAAATTAATAAAATGCAAGGTAGAGGGATTTTACCATGAATCGATTGATTCTATATGACTTATTTCCAACCCTTTAACCAACCGCTTTTATTCGGACATGGGGTCGAGGGTGATTTTTTTATTTCACGTTCACAAATAGGCATGCTAGATTATGCATTTCATCTATCTATATATACAGATAAATAGATTGACCTATAGGTTCACACACGATATCTTTCTATACATAGTGATGGTATCAACTCATATGGCCATGTTCGATTCGGTGGAATAAAAATAAAATAGAAATTAGCTTTCGGAGAGATGGCTGAGTGGTTGATAGCTCCGGTCTTGAAAACCGGTATAGTTCGAAACAAAGAACTATCGAGGGTTCGAATCCCTCTCTCTCCTTTTGCTCGATGAATAGATTTCTTTCTTTATTGCTTTTTCCTGGCTTCTTAATTAAGAATCTTAATATTAATAAAAGGTAATGGCTCGGCTGGGTGGAATAGCCGAGCCAGAAAAAAAATATTTTAGATAGAAAATGAGTTGAAACGAAAGGAAAACAGAATACTTTTTAAATATCACCTGATTCCTTCAATATATATAGTGTAATCAAATTGATTCCTACCTTAAGCATTGGATCTCCTGTCTCAGTTATCTCAGTTAAGAGGAGTCATGGAGAGAACAGGCTCAAAATCACGATCAATTCCTTTTTCAAATCCCGCTGCGGCTGCGCGAGCTCTTCCCGCGTGCCATAAATGACCCACGAATAGGAAGAATCCTAGAACAAAATGAGAGGTAGCTAACCAAACCCAACTTTCTAGAGAGACATAATTTACTGCATTGATTCGGCGGTAGCTACGCACCTACAGAATTCAACGAACCCTAAAGGCGCATGGTCATATATTCCGCGGAACGGCGTTTCTTAGCCAAGGAGTCTTTTTCAAACCTACTCAAGTCCAAACCATTTGGACCTCTGAGAGGTTCTAACAAGGAGCACGTTAGATCCCAAAAACGCATTAGTTCTCCTCCAAAAATAAAATTCTCCAGTAGGCGACGCAAATTAAATTATTTAACCTAAACCCGGTAAGGTCCTTGGGCGGGATCCCACCGTTAGCCCCAAGACGTGATCTCTAACTAGAAAGTAAAAGCTTTGAGTTGAGAAGCTTTCCGGTCCAGTAGGCCCGTAAACTCACTAGGATTAAGCGGTATTATTGAAACAGACAAGCAACAAGCAATGAAACCAAAAACGGATAAAGCACCGTAAACTATAAGACACCTAAACTATAAGACAAGTAAGCCTCTCCCGACCATACAAGTGCACGGCGAGCCCATGCAAAAGGTTTGGTTAAGATATGCCAGATTCCACCAAATATACAAATGGAACCTAACCATACATGTCCTCCAATTATATCTTCCAAATCGTCCACACTAACAATCCACCCTTCGCCTCCAAAGGGCGATTTTAGTAAATAACCAAATATAACACTTGGGCTAAGAGTCAAGTTGGTAATTTTTCTTACATCTCCCCCTCCCGGAGCCCAGGTATCGTATACGCCCCCAAAATAAAGAGCCTTGAATACTAGAAGAAAAGCACCTATACCTAGCAAAATTAAGTGAATACCCAAAATTGTGGTCATTTTATTTCTATCTTTCCATACATAACCGAAAAATGGAAAAGATTCTTCAAGAGTTTCAGGTCCCAGAAGTGCATGATAAATACCGCCAAAGCCCAATACAGCAGAGGAAATTAAGTGAAGTACTCCAGATACAAAGTATGGAAACATGATTTCGAGAGTCATGATGATATTACGGAGGAACAGCTTTATGGCTAGGTGGGGAAGTAAAATTAATCCTTGTTTATACATTGGTTTCTCCGGTACGAAATGAGCCACTTCAAATAGGTTCATTGCTCCGACCCAGAATATGATTAATCCAGCATGAGCTACATGAGCTCCCAGTAGTTTACCAGATAAATTGATAAGTCGGGCATTTCTGGCCCTTTTTTTTATTTTGTCTTTTTGAACCTTTGTTTGTTTTCATAAAACAGGATTTGGCTCAGGATTGCCCATTTTTAATTCCAGGGTTTCTCTGAATTTGAAAGTTATCACTTTCGTGTGGGTCCGAACTTACCCGACAAGGAATTTCGCTACCTTAGGACTGTTATAGTTATGACTGCCATTCACCGGGGCTTCGGTCACCGGCTCCCCTGTCATCAGGTCACCAACTTCCTTGACCTTCCGGTACTGGGCAGGCGTCAACCCCCATACATGGTCTTACGACTTTGCGGAGACCTGTGTTTTTAGTAAACAGTCGCCTGGGCCTTACGGACATTCTTTTACTTCCTAGAGGAAGGTGCGGTGCGCCAACATTGGCATTGCCCGTAGGTTCGGGCTCGTGGCTGACCTTTCAAGATCGGACTAATGACGTATACAATTCTTAAACTCTCGATGTAGATGCTACATAGTTGGTTCTCATCCTTCAGAGACTACGAATAAGATGTCCTGGTACTCTGGAAATCTGACTTCTGCTCAAAGGAATGAGTGGGTGTAGGAGCCTCTCCGAAACAAAACTCAAGTGAGTGAAAGAAGCCCTGTGAGAAACTGTCTCTAATTCACTCCATCCCTCATCTACTTCTTTCTACTCATGCGTACAATGGTTTTTGTGGAGGATTGATAGCACCCAGTTCTATTCCTTTAGGAAGCTCTTTTTAGATAGATAAATTTATCATATTTCCAAGTAGTACTCATACGCCGGGTTAACAATAAAAATCTACGTCACATGCTAGATGCAGTACAGTTTCGTACAAGCCAAGCACAAACCTCACCCATCAAGACTGAAAGAGATGAGGATTGAGGTCGTGTAGTTCGATAAGACGTGGCAGAGAATGGTTTGAGAGTTTGGTCTTATTCAATCAGATCGGAAGGAATCTCTAGCCTGAGTCTCAAACTCTGGTATGTAAGGGAGAAGTGTAACTCCTCCTGAAACTGTATTAATGATAGAAGAAACTGCAACTTCCATTGCAAATTCAGGGGATTAGAAAAGCAAAACCCCTAACCCTACTGGAGGAACTACAACTCGTCCGAGTAGATATTGTTACTTTCTCTCAAACCATAATAATATTGTGAAATCATTGAATTATTTATTTCTCTTGAAATCTCTTCAATATATTTTTTTTTTTACACACGCCTTTTTTTAGGTGGCCTGCAGCCATTATGTGGCATAGGGGTTATATCTCGGACTACAAAAGGGCGAATTCAAAATAGAAAATTTTCATTTTTTGTTTAGTTGTTTAGAATTTTGAAATTCTATTTTCAAATTCTATTAGAAATTTTAATTTTATTAGAAAATAAAAAAAAAACTAAAGAAATTAAACTCTAAAAGAAATTCTAAACTAAAAAAATGAAAAAATTAGAATAAAAGAATAAAATAGAAAATTATCTCTATATTTAGATAGATATATTTAATATCTTAGTATTTTAAACAAGATAGACCTCAACAGAAAACTGAAGAGTAACAGCAGCAAGTGATTGAGTTCAGTAGTTCCTCATAGAAAATTATTGACTCTAGAGATATAGTAATATGGAGAAGACTAAATTGTTTCGACAGAACGGGTAACTGCAGGGGGTATGGTATCAGGGGGGAAAGGAATGGGACATGGAAAGCCAGCCTAGTTAATTTAGTGCGTGGCCATTGAAGGTTCGTTTCTTTACATCCAGTGCTCTTTTCTGGGTAAGATTTTGAATCTCTTATTACGAATAATTCCAACAATTTCGAGAGAAAAAGAGGCATTTACTTATTACAGAGATGGTGTGATTTGATTTTTTTTTTATTTACCACCTCAAGTCTTAGGAGAAAGACACATTAGTCGGGATAGAAAGATTTGAAATAACTCTACGCTTGTTGAAGGTGAAGTTTATCGATTTATAAATAAAAAAATTTAGGTTTCTATCTATTATAGAATAGATAGAATATATAGATAGAAATGGATCTTGTTGTGTTCTGGAATCAAAGAAAGATAAGATGTTGAAAAAGGCTCTTAGGTTGTAACTTGAAATAAATGTTTCTCTTTATCTCGAAAGGAATAGAATATTAATTTATTCCTAGGAACAAGAAGATTGAATCGGAAATATCGACGGATTCTTGTGGAGTCCAAATAAATATGAAATAAAAAGAAATCGACTGTTCCAATTTCATCTCTATCGAATTTTAATATCAGAATAGTGGATATAGTCACGATTCAATGGGTTAGATCCACTTACTTTTTCTTTTGTTGATTTCTAATCTTTACAATTCTTTACAATGGATTTGATTGGAATAATCTAATTCAAAATCAAAACAAAATAGAAATATATATTTGTCGCTTCAAGAGACGGCTTATCATTATTCATTATAATTTCAACTTTCTTTTAGAATTACTCTACTCTAACTCATTAGAATAATAACTTATTAGAGTTAAATTATACAATTTCTAATTCAATTTCTAATTCAATTATTATACATATACAGTTGGGTTTTTATTACCAATAAAAACAACATCCCTAGTATTCAATATGAATACTACCATTTCATAGGAGTTTTATGAAAAAAAAAGTCAAAAGCCCCTTATCGGATTTGAACCGATGACTTACGCCTTACCATGGCGTTACTCTACCACTGAGTTAAAAGGGCGGTTCGATTCAATTACTGAATGAATTAGTAGACGGATAAGATCTATTTATATATATATAAGTATATGCAGTAGACTCATAGTGGCTAGTAGCTCTCAGGAATGAGAATTCTAATTTACTTAACGTGTAGAGGGTAAAATGGTTTTATTGGTATTGGGTTTGATAAATATCAATGCAATGAATTGTTTCAAGGCCAATCATAATTGGCTTATCAGAACAGAACGAAATTCATTTATTTGATTAATACAGGTACCTTAGCAATTCGACATAGATCCAATCTATTTTATCGAAACATGTGATGAAGGGATTTGCTTTGTCCACCGAACCCAATTTTTAGTTTTTAGAAAAAAAAACACACACACATAATTTTCGATAACTTCTTGCTGCCTCTTCCAAAAATTCCCGATTTACTTTTTGTTAATTTACCGGCTTAGTGTGAGATAGAAACATGCCTGTCTCGTCGTAATAATGAGTGAATCAATGAATGAAAGTGGAAAAAATGAAGCAAGGAACTCTCCCTTTTTTATGTTTATGTTAAACCAATCACTGATCTTATACTTTGTATTATTAATATAATCTAGTTTCTTTTTATATATTTATAAATAAGTATATTACTACCTATCTACTAAGTACCTAAAGAACGGAAAAAAAAACGAAAGTATGATTAGACTATATTAAACATTAAAGAGGGATTGGCATGAAAGAAGAATAAGGTGGTGAAGGACTAAGGAGGAATTATCATGGAGGAGAAATAAAAAGGTGAAATTGGATTTCAAAGGAGATTTATAAGAATTAAATATCAGAAGGGATTGAATAGAAGAAAGATGATTGGGTTCAGATAGGAGAGAATATGATAACGAAAGATTTAGGGTAAGGGGAGTATGGGACATAAAAGATGACTTGAGAGAAGAATAGCAGGGTAAAGGATTGAAGTGAGTTTTTATTAATGAGTTGTAGATGTTATAATAATGAAAGGGAAAACATTGTAAAGAAGAAAAAAATGGTTAAAAAAATTAAGAGATAGAAAGAAATGAAAGAGTCATTGTTAATAAATAATCGAAGTGAATAAAATGTATCGTAATATATTTTAGGTAGAAAGAAAAAAGTGGAAAGGGTAGGTAATTTTTAGATTTTTTACATAATAGGGATTTTGTAAGTTAGTACATTAGAATAGAGGTTAGGTAAAGGATTTTTTGAAAGTAAGGGAGTAAAAAGAAAGGGGTTTATATGGGTGGGAAGTGACAGGAGAGATTAAAGAGGAATGGTTAATGGCGGTGGGAAAGGAAGGGTGAGAAAGTATAGAGGTTTATTGCTGGAGGGAGGGAGGCTGGGGAGAAAACAGAAAATGATGCTGTGGGCATGGGAAGGAAGGCATGGGGGAGAGAATTGGAGTTTATGATGGTGGAGCAGGAAGAAAAACGGAGACAAATAGAGGTTTAAGGGTGGAAGGGAAGAAGAAGAGGCTTGTGTTGGCAGCACGGAAGGAGGGAGACGGAAAGTGGGTTAGAGTACGTGGGCAGGAAGTGAGGAAAAGGAGGAAAAAGCCTAGTGGGAAGCAGAAGGGAAAGAAAAAGGAGGTTTTTATGGGCAGAGACGGCAGAAAAACGAAATAGAGGTTTTTACAATGGAGCGGGATAAAAAGAAATAGAGGTGTATGGAATACAATGATTTAGCAATTAATATATAGAAAAGGGATTTGAGAACGAAAGAGAACGGTGGTTAAGTATAGGAGGATCAATATAATAGATAAGATGAGAAGAGTGGGATAGATTGGAGAATAAAGCTAATGGTAGTAGAAGTGGGTAACCGAAGGAATTTTTATATACAATTAGCAAAGTTTGATAGAGTAATATACAATGAAGGGGACAATGGAGAAAGAAAATGATTAAAAAAAAAAAATTTACAGAGGATAGGTGGAATGATAAGTTAAATGCTTCAAATAAAATATAGAAAAAAATGCATTAAATATATTGTAATTAAAATATAAAATATTATGGGTGACAAAAAGTTTATAAAAATAAGTTGAAGTTTAGAATTAAAAATAAATGGAATAAAGTTATATGTGGAATTAAAAAAAAAGAATTAAAAACAAAAAGTGATTTATATGAAGTAAGAAGAAGACAATTAAAAAAGATCAGTTTAGAGGAAAAGAATAAAAAAGTTGATGTTTTAGAGTTAGAACTGGAAAAATAAATATACTAATTAATAGTAATAAATAGTAAATAAAATTGAATATTTTTTTATATTGTTTTAAATAAATAATAATGTCTATGTAAAATTGATAATTATTTTATGTGGAGATAAGGTATGAGAATTTTAAATTTGAGGGGAAAATAGCATAATGTGAAAAAATAGTAAAGTTTGAAAAATAAGAAAAATGTTAAATTTTTGGAAAAAATAAAATGTTTTGGGGTCAAAGGGAAAAGGCTTAGGATTGTAGGATGAGATAAGGAAAGTTGGAGGGGTTAAAAAAAAATTGACTAATGGATAGGAAAGGCTTTGGTTGGAACTATAGGAATAACATTATAAAATCAAGAATGATTGGC